TCACGTGAGCGGAAGGGGGCCGGCGGCATGGCGGCGGAGGGCGATGTGGAGCTGGAGCTGGAGACGGAGCCGAACGGCGGCGGCGGCGGCGATGGGGCGGGCGGGCGCGCTGCCGAGAAGCCGCGGAAGCACGACAGCGGCGCGGCCGACCTGGAGCGGGTCACGGACTACGCGGAGGAGAAGGAGATCCAGAGCTCCAACCTGGAGACGGTGCGGGCAGGGCGGGCCGGGACCGGGGTGGGGCGCGGGACGATCCGGGCCCTGAGCGCGGCCACGGCGGAGCCCGCCCGGTGCTCGTCACGGTGGGCACCGCCCGGTGCTGCACAGGCCGGTGACTGTGCTCGTCCTGACAGGCCATGTCGGTGATCGGAGACCGGAGGTCCCGGGAGCAGAAGGCGAAACAGGAGAGGTAACCGCCTGCGCTCGCTCGTGGGCGCAGCCGCTCCGTGCCCAGCTTGCACCGGGTCGCCCCTTGGTCACCGGTGGGAGCTGTCGGTCACCGGGGGTTTGTCTGTTTCTTGCCGCAGGGAGAAGGAACTGGCAAAAGTGACCATCAAGAAGGAGGATCTGGAGCTGATTGTGAGTGGGGGGCGGTGTCCCAGCCCACGGGGACAGTTCAGTGGCCACACGCCAGCTGCACCTGCAGCCAGTGCACAAGTGGTGGCCTCGTCCTGTGCCGTGACTGGGTCTGCTGCTGCTGTCCCTGCAGATGACGGAGATGGAGATCTCGCGAGCGGCCGCGGAGCGCAGCCTTCGGGAGCACATGGGGAACGTGGTGGAAGCTCTCGTCACTCTCACCAACTGAGTGCCAGGCGCAGGGCTGGCTGCAGCTGGATTCTGTGTCCCTACATAATAAAGGTGCGGTTGGGAGCAGGTGTCACTGTGGTCTGTGTGGCCAGGCGCCTGCCTTGTGGGTCCCATAGGTCACACGGTGCTGATACTTGGGGCCCAGCATTGTGCTGGTAGCCTGGAGCAGGATGAGGTGACCTGCAACTTGCCTGAGCACTGAGACTCACTGCTCTTCCTGCCTGTAACCTCACCCCTCTTGGGGCAAGGGTGCTGTTATGATTGGGGTGCAGTGACAGCCATACATGTGCCCTGCCTGGTGCCTCCATGGCTGCACCAGTTCATCCCGGCTTGCAGGAAGGTACAGAACAGGATGGCCACGTTGTTCAAAGACAACAGCTAGAATGTGTAAGAAAATGATGACTTTAATCAAACCCACCCTCCTGTACAGGTAGAAAAGCCAAGTCCTGCACAACCAGGGATAAGAAATGGGGTCACCAAAACAGGGCCTGAACTGACAACAGGGAAAGTACAAGCCACAGGGACCAGGCAGGTATAAAGTCTATTCATCCCTCCAGAAGCAGGTGCACTGGAGTTGCCGTCCTCCCTCACAGCCACGCTGGGCACTAGTGGGGCTCCCGGAGTGGCTTCCGGTGGGATGCTGGTGGGACCATGGGCCTGGCCAGCACGGACAGGCTGTTGTCTTGCACGGCCCCGGGACAGGGAGCCTGCCAGGTCACGGCAGCACAAGGAGCAGGGCACTACGGCAGAGGAAGGGCTTGTCACCACGCAAGTCCCGGCACAGCGCCATGTCCTTCCCGTCCCTGCCTGGGCTCCCACTGCATTAAGTGGTTTTTCGCTTCTTGGCCGAGGGTCTCTCAAAGACGTCCCGAACACCCGCTGCTTTCTGCTTGAAGAACTTCGTGTTCTGTGCACTCTCCTGGCCCCAGGCGGAATCAAAGGAGGTGGTGTCCTGGTCCACCAAGTGCGTGTACTTTGTCCGCCCTGAGCGCCCAAAGTTCTTGACCTGGGGAGCAGCAGAGCTGATGAGGAGCCATTCGGGGAGGATGTGGGGACCCGCTGCTCCCCCCTGCCCCACCAGGAACCATGACCCCAGGCAGCTCACCCACCTGCATGACTTTGGGCAGGATCGTCTTGTTGAAGTGGTCTTCGAGGGTCGGGGCACTGAAGTCCCTCTTGTACACCTCCTCGTCCTCATCCTGTGGGGCAAGCACACACCTGCTCAGCTGCCACGTCCCCAGCAAGCGCCGGCAATAGTCGAGGAGAGCCCTTGTGCCACCAGAAGAGCACCCCCAGCCCCATGGCACCGCAGGGGGAAGTGGTCCCCATGGTCTCACAGCCCCAGCCTCCAGCGCAGCCGTGCCCAGGGAGCACTCACCATGAAGAAGGCACCGCGGTGGTAGTACTTCTGCAGGAACTTGTACTTGCCCTTCACCGCCTTGTTGGTGATGACCTTGCCATTGGCCCGCAGCTCGGCCCGGCGCTCCTCCTCCGTCAGGTTCCGCATGCGCTCGATCTCTGCCTTCTCCTTCTCCATGCTGGGCAGAAGAGAACCCCCTGAGAGCCGCATCCCACAGGGATGGCTGCTGCTGCCATCCATGGGGTTACACATCGGGGGCCTCTGCAGGGACACAAAGGCACCCCGAGGGCGGCAGGAGGGGCTCTGGGTGCTTGGCCCAGCCAAGACCATGCTGCCGAAGGGAAGCCCAAGGAACAGCTGCCTCCACTGCCCGCAGGACCTGGGCTGCAGGCTTCCCTCTTCATGCCTGTGGAGACAATACTTACGCTTCTCGTTCTTCTCGATCCCGTTTGATGCGCTTCAGCTCACGTACTTTCCAGGCCTCATACTCCTCCTCGTCATTCTCATCATCTGTATCAAGTGCATCCAGTGCTGCCAGTGAGCGCTTGTTCTCCTCCAGCTCCTTCTTTGCTTCCTCCTCTACGATCTGCAGCAAGGAGCAAGCTAAGTTCACTGCAGCAGCTGCCCCCCAGCAACCCACAGTCTGCCCCATGGCACCTTGAGTGTGTACTTGCGCCTCTCCTCTGCCAGCCTCTTTGCCTCCTGTTCCAGCTCCTTCTGCTTCAGGGCCTCTGCTTCTCGCTCTTGGACTGTGATCCTGTCCTTCCTGCAGGCAGAGACCCCAACCACCTTCAGCCCTGCCACAGGCCAGTGCAGCCAGCTGGCTCCTTGCAGGTTTCTCCCCCTCCTGCACCACGGCTGCTTCCAGCCTTTACCCTCTCCAATGACAGGCTGGGACCCAGAGCCCTCAACCCCTTCCAGTGTCACCCATGCACCATTCCCCTATGGCTGCCAGCAAGCACAAGAGCAATGGGAGAGCAAACCACCGGCTGTGGGGCTCAGCCCACTGACAGCTTGTGTTTGCCACCATACAGCACTTGCCCAAGGGTTCCAGTCAGACCCTGCTGTGACTTCCAACCTGCAGCAACCTGACGAAGGGCAGGGATCACCCCACACTGCCCAGCTTTGCCCTGCCAGGATCTGCCCATCACACTCCCCCGTGGAGGAAGAGGAAGCCACAGAAGTGGGGTCTGCATGGCCCTGGCTCCCGTGACCTCACCCAGAGTGACCCACACGGCTGCAGCACCCACTTGCGGATGAAGACGGGTTTGAGACGCGGCTCCATTTCGTCCTCACTGTCTGTGTATTCCTCGTACTCAGACTCTGACTCGGACTCTTCTCCAGACCGACCCTCATCTTCCAACTCCATCACTTCCATCTCCTCAGTTTTCCTCTCCTGTGCTCGCTGACGCATCATCCCGCGCCGGCGCTCGATCTCCTGCAGAGACAGACACAGAGCAGTGGAGAGCAGCCCCGCTGCCACCGCCCTCAGACTCCTCTGTCAAACACATGCAGTGCTGGGATTGCTGATGAAGAGACACTATACCCATCCCGTGCAAGAGGACAGTGTCCCACCGCTAAGTCACAGCCAGCTGTGACATTCATCCGGCTCCACCAGACACATCTGTGCAAATGGCAGGTCCAGCCTGTGCTGTCCAGAGGTGTCCTGTGGCCATTATTCAGCTCTACAAGCTCACCTCATCATCGATCTCCTCCTCTTCCTCCTCGCTGGTGTCCTCCCGCTCCAGGCGCCAGGCTTCCCCCTCCACCTCTGAGTCGCTTTCTCCAACCACTTCAGGCTCCACGATTTTACGGTGTCTCGCCAGCCTGCAGCAGACCAGTTAAACAACAGCCAACATAAAGAGCCTGCAAGAGGCTGGCTACTCGGGGCTTGCCACCAGCGAGGCCATGGAAAGCGCTGGAGCTGCTGAGTGTGGGCAGAACCCAACACATTCTCTCCTGGGGCTGCAGTGGCTGGGCACCGGCAGCTCCTCCCTGGCCATGCTCTGAGAAGGAACAGGAAGCTGCAAGGCTCCCCGTTACCAGAACCAGAAAGAGCAGCAGCTCCAGGGGAGGTGGCAAATGAGCATACTTCACATGATGCCGTCCCTTCCCACTCCCCTGAGCCTCTGCACACCACATTCATGGAGCCTGTTTCCACTCACACCCTCCCAGCTGCACCCAGACGTGGGATGTGCCCTGGGAGATGGGGACTCCTGCACAGCTGGGACCCGAGGCACGGAAGTGAGAGCAGTCAGAGGCTCTCCTGCACCGCCTGCAGAACGCTCTCAGCTCCTGCCCGGTGTCCCTGCGGCTCCCGCAGCGGGACGTGGCGCTGGCCCCGCACTCACCGCTCCTCCACATCTTCAGCGATGCGGTTCTGGAGGCGACGCAGGCGGGGGTCGTTGGCGAGCTCCTCCTCCTGCTCCTCGGGCTCCACCTCCTGCTCCTTCGCCTTCTTGATGAACTGGAACTCCTCATCCTCCTCCTCCGAGGACTCCATGGGCGCGTAGTCGGGCCGCTTCCCCGACACGTACCGCTTCACCTTCACCTTCTCCATGGACAGCTCGCCTACGGGCGCCCGGGCCGTTACCAGCGGCCCCTCGGCCCCGAGCCTGCCTCGCCGCCGGGACCCGGCCGCCCCCCCCCCCCTTACCCTTCTCATTGCGGACGGGCACGGCGCCCGCCGTGGACTGGATCGGTGGCTGCTTCATGAGGGCGCTGGGGACCGCCATGGTGCCGCGGGGCCTGGCTGATCCGCGCCCACTGCACCGGCTCCGAGCCGCCGCTCACAGGAACCGGGACAGGAGCCCGCTTCCGGCGGAAGTGACGATCACCGCGGGGTCACTTCCGACTTCCGCGGGCCGCCGGTGGCTGCCGGGACTGGAGCCCCCGGGGGTGCGGGCTCGGCTCTGTCCTGCCGCCGTTCCGCGGCACGCAGGGGCAGCACCGGGACAGGGATCCCGCTCACGGCCGGGGGGCTCCAGCTCCGGGCCCCTGCCCGGGGCCTCCCGCCGTGCCAGGCCGGGGCCGGGGTCTCGGTGACGGGCGGCGCTGGCTTTAGGGCCCTGCCTCCCTCCTGGGTATGGAGCTGCTTTGCGCGGGGCTGGGCCGAGCCGGACACCGCGGGCTCGGCGTCACCGTGACTCCCGCGGGGCCGGGGCGGAGCCGAGCTCCAGCGCTCCTGCCCAGCTCCACCAAGCGCCAGCGCAGCCCCGGGCACAGCCCGCACCGAGAGGCAGCGCTGTTTGTGGTGCACAGGAGCCTCTGGCCGTGCTGCGGGGCTGGGGCCGCCCCTGCGCTTCCCGGTGGCACCGGTGAGGTGGCGGCAGTGGCCTCTTGCCCGGAAGGGCAGCTGCTGCGGCAGCTCCGCTGCGAGCGGGGTTTTCGTGCCGCACGCGTCAGCAGACGGGGGCCGTGAGGCCTCGTGGGGCAGGGCTGGGGCTGCCCCTGCTCCAGCTCCCACCCGCAGGGGATGGGGCTTGTTGCACACTGAGTGCCAAAGCGCCGCCGCCGCTGCCGCCTGCACCGCTTCCTCCAGAGAGAGGAATCTGGTTTCCCTTCGGGGAAGTCCGCTCACTCCCTGCGAGGGGGAATCTGGGACACGGGTCAGAGCCGTGCTTTGAAACCGCCGCTGCTGCTTCAGGGCTGCACCGGGCTGGCTCTGGCGCTCCCCGGCTTCAGCACATCCCTGCGGCAGCCAGAGGCACTGGGACAGCCTGGAGCTGTGCGGGGAGGAGGGCCAGGGGTGCCATGGGATGTGCAGGGCTCCCTGGTACCCCACAGTTTGTGGGTTGCTGTAGCAACTGAGGCAATAGTAGCTGTAACCCCACAGCAGCCGGTGTCCTCCCCAGCCATGCCCAGCTGGAAGCAAGAGTTTGTTCCTCTGCCTCCGGCCCTTTTGCCCAGATGACAATTGGAGCTCCTGCTCTGCGTGAGGGTTGTCAGCGTGTTCCCACCTTGTGAGTCCTGCGCTGCCATGGCAAGGAGCACAGGACTCGTAGGCACATCAGTTAAAGGGAGAACTGGGAGCTGCACACATAGCATATGGTGTTCCATTCAGGTGAAGGCAAACTAAAGAGCTGGGCAAACAGGGAAACGGTTTGAGGGTCTGCTTGGGTCCTGTGACCGTGGGCATTGTAGGCCGTGACGAGAGGTCACAGCGCCGCTGCCATGGCCCCGAGCAGGGGCTGCACCGTGGGGTGTAGGTTAGGTCACAGAAGTGCCCGAGCCGCAGGTGTTTGTGTCTGCAGCGGCACCGCAGAGCAAGGTCAGGGCCCCCAGGCCCTGCGGTGATGATGTTGTGTCTGGGAGCGTGGCCATGGGCAGAACCTCCCGAGCCACGGGGCTCCTGGTGCAGCCAGGGCAGTGCCAGCTCTGCGGCGCCGGGACCTTGCCAGGAGTCTGCTCACGGTGTCCAGTGGTGAGGAGAGGGCAGGGGCTCCCAGGAAAGCGGCCTCAGCTTTGAGGAGCAGCGCAGGCAAGTGCAGGGAGAGGGGCTGGGGGGTGTTTGCAACACGGGCATGGGGGACAGAGGGGGTTGCTGTGCTCCAGCCAAACATTCAGGTACTGCTCTGGTCCCTCCAGGTGCCCCCTGCCTGCCCTGTGCCCATTCCTTGGGTTTCTCCACTGTTTGTGAGGACCTCCTGCCCTTCCTGCACGGGTTCCCCACTCTGCCTTCTGGGCGGCAGGGGCTCTGCAGGCAGGGCTGCAGCCCCAGTGCTGCTCTGCTCTGGGGGAGATGGGCACTTGCATCACTGTGGGAGGTTGTGCAGCCTCTGCAGCCAAAAAGCGCAAAATTGACCAGTTTTTCCATGGAAGTAGGTTTGCATTGATTGGGCTGCTGCTAGGCCACACCAAGGTGTGCTTGGCACGGAGGAGCATGGGGGTCTCTCCCCAGCCCTGGTGAGCAGTTTGCCCTCTGTGCCTGGGTGGGCTCCTGGGGATGCTGCGGGAATCACCTGGCAGGCACAGAGCTGCCTGTGAGCTCGGAGTCACTGCACAGGGCACTGATGCCTCCAAGCGAGGTCAGTCAAGTGTCCAGGAGGAGGGTTCATGCTGTGGTAGCCACATAGGCACAGCTGAGAGAGATGGGAGCAGCCACTGCTCAGGTTCAGCCCAGTGGCCCTGGAAGGTTGCTGGGGATGCAGATCCCACCCATGTTGTGGCTTTGTGACAGGCTGAGAGAGCTGGGCTGGGGCAGCCTGGGGAAGAGAAGGCCCCTGAAGGGGAGACCTGAGAGCAGCTCCAGTGCCTAAAGGGGCTGCAGGGAACCTGGAGAGGGGCCTGGGACAAGGGATGTAGGGACAGGCCAAGGGGAATGGCTTGAACCTGCCCGAGGGGAGACTGAGCTGAGCTCTTAGGCAGAAGCTCTTCCCTGTGAGGGTGCTGAGGCGCTGGCACAGGGTGCCCAGAGAAGCTGTGGCTGCCCCATCCCTGGCAGTGCTCAAGGCCAGGTTGGACACAGGGGCTTGGAGCAAGCTGCTCCAGTGGAAGGGGTCCCTGCCTGTGGCTGGGGTTGGGGCTGGAGGAGCTTTAAGGTTCCTCCCAGCTCAAACCAGGCTGGGATCCTGGGATAGGTACCATGGCCCAGCACTCCCCAGCTCTGGCAGGGCTGTCGGGTGGCAGTGTGTCCACAGCTGGTTTATGTAAGAGAGGTTCTTCCTGCCTGCCTGCTCCGTGGCACCGAGAGGAGCCCCGTGGTGACAAAGGCCCTTTGTGAGCTCCTCTCTGCAGTGACATGTCACTGGCTCAGGCACAGCGGCTGTCACCTGGGCACAGGCAGTGCCTAATCCGGGCACCTGGCGGTGGGTGCTGGGGAGGGCGCAGGGGTGCAGCTCACCACCCCCGCACCAGTGGGACCTGCCTCCGACACACGCAGCCCATATGACTCTGTGGGGCATTCTGGGGTCAGCTGCACATCCAGGAGCCGGCCCGGGCCACAGTGGTGAGTGCTGTGTGCCCACGGGCTGCCTGGTGGGACTGTGGTCCTAGAGGCTGGGCCTGGGGTGCTGCGACCCCTGTGGCCAGTGGTCTTGGGGCCGCACACAGGGGTCGGCCCATGCTGAGTCGCTCCGCAGCGGAAGGCCGCTGCCAGGTTAAACACAGGCAGGTTCTGCAAAGAAAGCTGCCCTGTGCCAGATTTTCTGGGCTGTTCTCAGCATCTCAGTTACCAAGGTGACTGTTTCCTGTGCGATTGCTAATGCTTCATGATCTCGATCATGATATCCGAGTGACTTCCTTTTCTCTGTGAGGAGCTGTAGGACCTGCTCCTTCCCAGCGCTGCCCAGACGCTTTCAGAGCTGCGGAGGATCCAGGTCAGTTTGGGTTCTGCTGCTTTTGCTTCCTGTGCTTGACCTGGCTTTTGGACTGCTCCAGGCGCGATGGGATGGACAAGGGTGTGTAGCGGGTTTGAAACGGCCGAAGCTGAGCTGAGCCGCCGTCACTTCGCACCGTTTCTCCTTGTGGGAATTCCCCTCCTGAAGCCTGAAGCTGTGCTGATGGTTGTCCTCGTGCGCTTGGTGATGGTTTCGGAGCGCTTGCTCAGCGGGGCCGGGACCCCGCGTACCGGGGGTGACCCCATGGGCACGGGCGAGGAGCGCGCTGCCCCGGGCTGGCACGGGCCGGTCTGGGTCAGTTCGTGCCCCGCGCCGCGGAGCCACCGGCTGAGCACGGGACGCGGGGCGGCTCCGGGCGCCGGGGTTTGTGGGCGCCCTCGCGCCCTGCCCGGAGCCGAGGCCCGCGGGGGCTCTGGCAGCTCCCGGGGCTGATCCGGGCCTCTCGCTCCGCGGCATGGGCGGCCCCACGGGGGATCGGCGGGGCCGGGGCCGGTGCCCGCTGGGGGTGGGTCTGCCGCGGCGGGGCGAGCGGCACCGGTTCTCGCAGTGCCCCGGGGGGGGGGGGGCGGGCGGGCGGCGGTGACGGCATCCGGCGGCGCCCGGCGGAGCGGCGGCCGTGCCGCGCCGGGCCGGGCCGGGCCGAGCGGGGCCGGGGCCGGGGCCGGGGCCGGGCAGTGCTGGACCGAGCGGAGTGGAGCGGGGCCGGGCGGGGCGGGGCGGCGGGCGGCGCTGACAGCTGCTCGGCGTAAACAAGCGGCCCCGCCGGCCGCCCCGGCCGCCCCTGCCTGGGCCGGGCCCGGCTCCGGGGCGGGCGCTCCGGGCGCCCCGCGGAGTGACGCGGCGCCGCCGACAGACGGGCCCGGCCGCCGGCGGGACGGGAGCGGGCAGGCCGCGCGGTACGGGCGCGGGGACGCGGCCGGGGCAGGGCTCGACCGCCGGCGCCGGCGGTTTGACAGCTGCGGCGGCCCCGGCCGGGCCGGACCCCGGGGGCGGCGGCGCCGCGGTGGGGGGGGCTGGGGCTGTCGGAGGGACCGGCCGGGGCCGCCGCCGCGGGCGAGAAGGGACCAGGCCTCGTCCCGTCCGCCCGCGGGCCTGCCCGGCCGCTCTCGCAGGCAGCCGTCGCCCGGCGCTCTGCGGGAGGACGGCGGCTCCGCGGGCCTCGGCCCCGTGCGGCAGCCGCGCTCCGGTGTCCCTCGGTGCCGGGAGGGATCCTGGCCGGCCTCTGCCCCGCGTGTGCCGGCTGCGATCGGCACCGGGGTGTCTGTGGGGCTGCGGCGCAGGGAGCGCGGCCCGGGCGCTGGGGGGGGCTTGGGTCCCCTCGGGCCCCGCCGTGCCGCTGCCCTGCAGTGCCTGCCCGGTGCCGCTCCCTCCTCCTCCCGTTGCGGGGGCACGAGGCCCGGGAGCTGCCGGCGGGGAGCGGGGCTGTGCTGGGGGCACTTGGGGGGCCGGGGCGGCGGGGGCCGGTCTGTGCTGCCCGCGGCAGGGCCCCGCTGCAGCCTGCTCCCCACGTGGGAGAGGGTGGCTGCGGGCTCCGGGCCCGGCACAGCGGAGGAGAGTGCCCGGCAGGGCCCTGGGCCGGGGGTGAGGTGGTGGCACAGGCACCAGCCGTGGCAGACAGTGTCCCCTTGTGCAGGAGCGTTTTCCCTTCCGCGAGGGCTCTGGGAGTGTTTCCCACTGGAAACTGGGATTTGGGCCCTGGCACGAGCTGGGACCCAGGGCTCCCGTCCAGCCGCCGGTGGGTGCTCGTGGCTCCGGGTGCCTCGGCACCGTGGCCGAGGTCTGGTCGCTGAGGGGGAGCCCCGGTGTGCCTGAATCGCGGCACTGTGCTGTGTGTGCTGCAGCCTGCGGCGGGGCTCAGGCGCCTGCCAGAGCTGCTCTCTCCTCTCCTCTCCTCTCTCCTCTCTGCTCTCTCCTCTCTCCTCTCTCCTCTCCACTCTCTCCTCTCCCTGCTCTCTCCTCTCTCCTCTCTCCTCTCTCCTCTCTGCTCTCTGCTCTCTGCTCTCTCCTCTCCTCTCTCCTTTCTCCTCTCTCCTCTCCCCTCTCTCCTCTCTGCTCTCTCCTCTCTCCTCTCTCCTCTCCCCTCTCTCCTCTCTGCTCTCTCCTCTCTCCTCTCTCCTCTCCCCTCTCTCCTCTCTGCTCTCTGCTCTCTGCTCTCTCCTCTCTCCTCTCTCCTCTCTCCTCTCTGCTCTCTGCTCTCTGCTCTCTGCTCTCTGCTCTCTGCTCTCTCCTCTCTCCTCTCTCCTCTCTGCTCTCTGCTCTCTGCTCTCTGCTCTCTGCTCTCTGCTCTCTGCTCTCTGCTCTCTCCTCTCTCCTCTCTCCTCTCTCCTCTCCTCGCCCCGCAGCGCCGCAGGCTCCCTGCTCCCGAGCCCGCTGCCTGCGGGAGGGGGATGGGGCTCCTCTGGGCACTGCTGCCTCTCACCCTTGCTGCTGCCCCTGGAACATGCCCAGGTATCGCAGGGTGCTGTGGAGCTCGCACTCCATGCGCTCTGTGGGCTGCTCCCTGCTCTGCTTCCCGCCTGCCTCCCAGCTTCTTTCTTGTGCTTGCCCTCTGGCATGGGGCAAGCTCTCCCCAGGCCCTGGTTTGTACTGGAGGTGACGGGGTGCCCCTTTTCCTTGTCCCCGTGCCAGTTTCCTTTCTGTTGTGGAGATGAGTCACGCCGGTGTCACCATGTTGTGCTCCAGAGGAAGGGCAGAGCCGAGCTGCTGGCGGTGACAGGCAGCACGGCGCTGGGTGCTGCTACCAGCAGCGGTGGCTCTGCTCACCAGAGAGCAGGGCTCGCCCTGGTTCCAGTGTCTCTCATTTAGCTGGGCTTCCTCACACAGTGTATGGGGCACCTCGTTTGGCCTCCCTTGGGGCTGGAGAAGCAGCTTGTAGGCACAGAGCATAAGTACACATTGGGCAATAGGCAGAGTAAACAGCGGCTCTGCACCCGGGGCACCCTGCGGAGCCAGTGCCATGGCTCCTCGCAGCCCCGTGTCCTGGTGGCCACCCATGTGCCCAGGGCCCTTCACCCAGAGCCAAAGCCAGAGCCTGCCCTCCCCAGGCCTGAGGAGAGGCACCCCAGGGCCTGACCCCTCTTCCATCTCTCTGCAGATCCTGCTGCTGTCCCGGGTTGTCTGTTCCTGCTGCTGGCCGCTGTGGGCTCGTCCCCATGCGCTCTTGGGCTGAGCGGGTACCAGCGGGGCAGAGAGGCTGGTGTGCCCCGGGGTGCTGAAGCCGGGAGGCCGCTGGACCCACCACTCCTGGGACCCTCCTGCTCCCCGCCTCGAGGAGCCCCGATACTCTGATGGATCTGAGGCCCTGCTCGCTGCTTCTGCTCTGGACTCTGGTGGTTGCCCTCGCTCTCCTGGCGCAGGAGGTGCTGGCCCAGCGTATTTACACCAACACGTGGGCCGTGCTCGTCCCTGCGGGGCCACAGGAGGCTGACAGGCTGGCCAGGAAGTATGGATTCCTCAACCTGGGCCTGGTAAGTCCCCTGCTTCCCTTTCCCCATGGATGTGGTTGGTTCTGCCGTGACCTGGGTGGATTCTGGGCTCAGTCTGCAGCGTGCAGGGGCTTTGCAGATGGAGCTGGCACCAGCATGGGGGCTGTGTCCAAGGAGTGGGGCAAGGGGATCCCATGGGAGTGGGTGCAGCAGGGCTGACCCAGAGGGACCCCCAGGCCCCTGCCCGGGCACTGCTCCGGTGAGATGCGGCTGCGTGGCTGTGCCAGCGCCCTCGGGCTGCCTGCGTGCCCAGGCTCTGTTGCCCGGGAGCAGGACGCTGCCCCTGCCCCGGCCTGGCTGCTCCGGGAAGGAAGCGAGGGGCGAAATCCCAGAGGAAATTGCACAACCGGTGCCTGCGGTGTCAGGACCTCGCTGTGAGCAACGGCCTGGAGCCGTGGCGGGTGGGGAGATGGTGGCTGCGGCTGCCGTGGGTGGGTGCCCAGTGCTGCCGCTCCCAAGGTGATGGGGACACAGGGCTCTGAGGGCAGGGAATCCTGAGGCCTCTGGGGCTCGTGCCAGAGGAGGGAACTCTAGGGACTGGGGCCAGGCCTCAAGTGGGTGTCTGCCGCAGGGGCAATGGGACAGCTTCACACACGGGCTGTCTGCGTGGAAGTGTCTTGGAGCCAGCATCAGGGCAAGGGATGTGCTGGGCCTGGGCCACTGCCGTACAGAGGGGACCAGAGAGCAGCCCAGGACATGTCCTGCGGGGCCAGGTCTGTGCTGAGACCCCTGGGAGCAGGAACAGGGCTGAGGAGCCACCAGCTGCGGTGCCGGATCCCAGGGCCAAGGGGCACCAGGCTCTGTGCCCATGTCTCTGCCGGCCCTGGGCTGCGGTGCAGAGCTCTGCAGGGCCCCACAGCCTGGCGGGGAGCCCAGGCCTGTTTGGGGTCTGTCCCCATGAGCCGTGGGGGCTCTGTGCCAGCTCTGCCCTCACCTTGTCCCTGCGGCCAGGGGCTGGCACCTCTCCCCCTGCTCCCAGCCCCCCAAGGCAGCGCTTGCAGGCAGAGCCCCGCAGGCTGCAGCGGCTCAAGCTGGGGCAGGAGCTGCTGCTCTGGGCACGCTTTCTGCCGTTCTGGAGCCCATCCCGGGGGATGTGCTGCAGGATGAGGCTTGGCTGCCCCCGCAGCCCGCGCCCGCAGAGGGGCCGGGGCAGCCTGGCAGGAAGCAGGGATGGAAGGAGCCAGTTTCCCTCGTGGCGGGTTTCTGGGCTGCTGTTCCGGGGGCTGTGTGGCACTGGGGCAGGATGCGGCAGCCAGGCTGCAAGAGGGGGTCCGGGTGCTTCTGGCAGTGCCCCAGTGAGAGGCCCACGGGGTCCTTATCTGGAAGGATTCTGGCCTCAGCGTGGAGCCTGGACACTGTCCTCGGAAGTGCACTGTCCTGGCGTCCTCCCTGCTGCTCCCTGCCTGGGGAGCTGGGGCGGCAGTGCCCTGGCCAGGGAGCCTCAGAGAGGTGCCAGGACCCCCAGCTGGTGGCCTTGAAGAGGACCCAAGGGACAGTGCTGGGGCCAGAGGAGAGGGACTGGCCAAGGTGGCCACAGGCTGGGGCAGGAGCTGTGAGCTGGCACCGGCGTCTGTAGGATCCATGCTGCCTGCCCCGGGGATGGCTCTGCCCTTGCTGAGGACAGGGACTGTGGGATTAGGGTGGAAACGTGTGGGCTGGCTGGCTCCTGCCGGCCACCGCAGTGTCTGTGCAGACCCAATCCAGCCGGTGACCAGCAGAGCCGTGATGGCGCAGGAACAACCGCTCTCTGTCCTGACCCCTGAGGGGTGCTGGGGGAGGGCACCCAGCCTGCAGCTCCCTGGCCCCTCTGCAGGCCCAGTCAGAGCCTTTCCCCCTTGACACCTCCTGGGTGCTCCGAGCTGCGTGCACCCCAGGCCCTGCTGGGGGACACCGTGTGTGACACGGGTCTGTCCCCAGTGACTCGAGGGGCGATGCTGCTGTAGCAGGCAGGGCTGCAGCTCTGCATTCAGCTGTGCCGGGGCTCCAGCCCGTGCCCTGCAGGGAAGGGCTGCAGAGCTGCAGTGGGAGTCCTGGCCTTCCGTCCAGCAGCGCAGGGCAGGAGCAGGGCTGGGGAGCACACCCCCGTGTCTTGGTCTGTGGGTTCCCTGGGTAGCCCAGCGGGTGCGGGGTTATTGCCGTGCTGCACTGGGATCCTGCCTGCGGCCCCTGCCCAGCAGTCGTGACTGCGAGGGGGGCAAGGCGGGCGCTCAGCCCCCTTCCCTGCGCTGAGAGCTGCCTGCTGAGCCCTGCACAGCCCCGGCCACCCGCGGGGACCTGCGGGGGGGGATCAGGAAGTGACAGCGCTGGAGAGGGTTCAGGGTTTATAAATAACCCTGTGGTGGCTGCGGGGCCTGGCCCAGCCCCGGTCCCTGTGCACGGAGCTGGATGGTGCTGCCCAGCGCCTGCCCCCACTGCGTGTGCCCGCACTTAGCCCCGCTGGAGCTGGCTCTGCCCCGACCGTGTCACGGTGGCTCCGTGGTCTCCCCAGCTTCCTTATCACGAGCTGTCGCAGGCTCTTGCAGGGCGTTCTGCCCCAAGCACCCCACATAAACCTCATGAGCCACTCTGGAGTGGGGACCCAGCCTGCGTGTGGCTGCCACAGGCTTGGGACTGCAGGCAGGGGACAGGGAATGGGGGAGACCGGCCTCTCATGTGCACCCCGCTCCTTTCTGTGTTGCAGATCTTTGGTGACTATTACCACTTTCGGCACAGTGGCGTGGTGAAGCGCTCCCTCTCACCCCACCAGGCCTGGCACAGCCGTTTGGCCAGGGAACCACAGGTAGGTGCAGTGGGGCCATGCCTGCAGGGGCTGGCTTTGGTTCTGGCCACTTACACTGCCATGTGAGCCAGCACCGGGCACAGCATGGGTTGAGCTGCCGTGAACCATCCCCTGGCACTGAGGCTCTTGGCAGAGCTGGGTGGGAGCCTGGCATGTGTCTGGCAGGGGCAGGGATCAGCAGTGCCAGCAGCACTGGCCTGTGGGCTGCTGGGATCATAGAATCGTAGAACAGTCAGGGTTGGAAAGGACCTTAAGATCCTCAAGTTCCCACCCCTCTGCCATGGGCAGGGACACCTCACACTAAACCATGCCACCCAAGGCTCTGTCCAACCTGGCTGTGACCACCATCAGGGATTGAGCATTCACAGCTTCCCTGGGCAACCCATTCCAATGCTTCACCATCCTCACAGTAAAGAACTTCTTATTTATATCCAATCTAAACTTTCCCTGTTTCAGTTTTAACCCATTACCCCTTGTTCTATCACTACAGCCACTAATGAAGAGTCCCTCCCCAGCATCCCTATAGCCCCCCTTCAGATACTGGAAGCTGCTCTGAGGCCTCCACGCAGCCTTCTCTTCTCCAGGCTGAACAGCCCCAACTTTCTCAGCCTATCTTCATACAGGAGGTGCTCCAGTCCCCTGATCATCCTCGTGGCCTCCTCTGGACCTGTTCCAACAGATCCATGTCCTTTTGATGTTGAGGACACCAGAACTGCACACAATACTCCTAGTGAGGGCTAGGGTTGGCATCTCTCCAACTGGTGCCAGGGCACGGGGCAGCCTCTGTGCCATGAAGGGCTCTGTGCCCTCATATGGGGACAGGGCAGTGCCAGCAGTGCCTGGCGCCAGCGTGGCGGTGCGGTGGGGCTGGGGCGCAGCAGAGCTCTGCACTCTGCCCTCCGTGCTCCACTGGAGCACAGCCTGGCTCGGGGTGCCCGGCGCTGCTGCTGCCCGCCATGGCTCAGCAGGGCAGGGGGACAGGCTTGGCTCTGTGGTAGCTGCAGTGGGGTCCCCAGGCTGCTGGTGCAGGGCAGGGTCCTCGTTGCGAGCCCGCTGTGCTCTGTGCCCAGGTGCAGTGGCTGCAGCAGCAGGAAGCCAAGCGCAGGACCAAGCGCGACATCTTCATGGAGCCCACGGACCCCAAGTTCCCGCAGCAGTGGTACCTGGTGAGTGCTGGGCGAGGGGGGGGCCTGCGGTCAGCACAGTGCATCACGGACGTGGCAGCCCAGAGCTGCTGCCAGGCTGGCAGGGAGGAGGAGCAAGGCCTGAGGCAGGCACCCTGCCCATGGGCACCCCAGGGCAGTGGCAGCAGCCCAGAGCACTGGCGGGGCTGAGGAGAGCTGGAGCTGGACATGGGGGGAGCAGCCCCTTGCATGGCACAGGACCAGGGTCCATGCCCAGGTATCGGCATCACTGAGCTCAGGCACAAGCCCAGGCACAGTCTGGGGCTCAGTCTCCTTTCAGTGTCCCTCCTCGTCTGGCTGTGCCCAGCCCTCTGTGCCTGGGCCCCGGGAGGGTTTCCTCATCCTCATTCCACAGCGGAGCAGGGTGAAGGCTGGGAGGGGTCCAGGCACTGCAGTACCAGCGACTGCATGCAGTTCCTATTGCTGAGGTCTCTCTTGACAGTACAACACCAACCAGCGGGACCTGAACGTGCGTCAGGCCTGGGAGCAGGGCTACACAGGCAAGGGCATCGTAGTTTCCATCCTGGATGACGGAATTGAGAAGAACCACCCTGACCTGGAGGGCAACTATGTGAGTGATAGGAGATGTGTGCCACAGGAGCCTGTCTGTGGCTGCAGCTGCCTGGTGCACCCCTGGAGCTGCGTGCTGCAGGGCTTGTGACTGCTGTGGTGGGACATGCAGGAAAGCAGTGGAGGTGGGACTGGAGCTGCCCCATCACTCAGCCCAGCCTCAGGGCCATGGAACACAGGCACGAGCCGAGGGTGGTGGGGCTCAGTGGTGAAGGTGTATGGTCTCTGACTGCCAGATCTTCCTTCCAGGATCCAGGAGCAAGCTTTGATGTCAACGACCAGGACCCAGACCCACAGCCCCGCTACACACAGATGAATGATAACAGGTGAGGCAGGAGGCAGAGGTGAGGGCAGCAGAGCCGAGCTGCAGCAGTGCCTCAGCGGCAGCACTGTCACAGGGGTGGTGGCACACTTCTGCCCCACAGAGAGAGCCTCCTGCGTGCCCTTCCAATGCAAGCAGCATCCTTTGGGGCTGCCCAGTGCCAGTGCAGGCCGTTGAGTCCCCCCTGCTCTGGAGCAGGAGGGTTGATGGAGGAGCCCTGAGGGGCCTTTGTTGGCTGTAAGGTGTGGGAGGACGGGAGGCAGCCTGGGTGCTGGTGCCTCTGTCTGCAGCCGGTGCTGAGCCCCGTGCTCCTCACACCCCTCTGAGCACGCTTTGCCCTGTTCCTCCTGCAGGCATGGCACACGCTGCGCCGGGGAGGTGGCTGCCGTAGCCAACAACGGGATCTGCGGTGTCGGCGTTGCTTACAACGCCCGTATCGGAGGTGGGTGCCACCCTGCCCTGGGCTGAGCAGAGCCTACACTGGGCTCCACAGGGCCCGGTGCTGGAGGAGCGGCTGTGCTGGGGGTCCTGGTGCTGCTGGTTGGCAGCCCTGTAGGGCCCGTGGTGCAGGGCAGCAGCGGTGCAGGGGGGGGCACACTGTCACTGCCCTGTCCGGTCACCGGTGGCATCTGCTCTCTGGCCCTAGGCGTGCGCATGCTGGATGGGGAGGTGACTGATGCTGTGGAGGCCCATTCCCTGGGCCTCAATCCCAACCACATCCACATCTACAGTGCCAGCTGGGGCCCGGAGGATGACGGCAAGACTGTGGATGGCCCGGCCCGGCTGGCGGAGGAGGCTTTCTTCCGAGGGGTCAGCCAGGTGAGAGTGCCCGGGCAGCGTGGGCTGAGCTGCCCCCACAGTCCCTGCTCTGCCTGCCCTGGTTGCTGTCGCAGGGCTCCTGTGAGGAGCTCTCTTCCAGCTCATCTCCAGGATCAGGCTCTGTTGGTTTTTCCTGTTCTTCTTGTGTTGTGGCTCTGAGTCAGGGCTCCTCCCGTGCCCCTTATCTCGCCTCTCTGAGAACTCTTGTCCTCCCTTCTCTGCTCCTGCACAGCCCTGCTCTGGGATAGCCTCAAAGCCCTGTGCTGGCTCCTGCCTGCTTTCATGCCAGCTGCTCTCTCTTGCTTCCTCCTGTCCTCCCCCTGCTCCCTGTGCTGTGAGCGCAGGGTTTGGCATTGCCTGGTGCAGCTCCCATGGGGCAGCTGCAGATCCTACACAGACAATCAGCATGGGTGGTTTCTGAGTGGGAGAGGACATCAGGGCTTGGAAGACCCTCTTCAGTAGGGCTCCTGCCACCCAGTGCGCTCCCTGTTGGGGCAGCTCCTGCAGCCTCCCCAGAGCTGCCCCAGCACCCTCCATAGGCACAGTGGTGCTGAGGGCTGGCAGTGCCCAGGCTGTGACCGGTGGCATCCTCCTGTCTGCTGTGTCCCCGTTACCTCTGCTCAGTCTCTCCTGCTCGGGCTGCAAGAACCCCGGGCAGAGCTGGCACCGTCCTGGCCGCAGCTCCAGGCAGTCCAGGGCCGTGGGGCTGGCCCTCACCCCGCTCTGTTGCCAGGGCCGAGGAGGGCTGGGCTCCATCTTCGTCTGGGCCTCCGGGAACGGGGGCCGTGAGCATGACAGCTGCAACTGCGATGGCTACACCAACAGCATCTACACGCTGTCCATCAGCAGCACCACGCAGTACGGCAACGTGCCCTGGTACAGCGAGGCCTGCTCCTCCACCCTCGCCACCACCTACAGCAGCGGCAACCAGAACGAGAAGCAGATTGTGAGTTGGGGCTGCTGGTGTCAGCAGGGGGGGGTCATGGGGCTGGGATGTGCCAAGCTGCAGCTCCCATGGCATCCCTCTGGGAGTCGTGGTGCTGGGAGCAGGGTTGGCCCCACTCTGCCACCCTCCAGCTCATTCCCAGAGCTCGAGCCCATGAGCTGAGGGCTTCTGGAGCAGCTCTGCTCTGGAGCCAGGCTAAGAGAGCTGGGCTGGGGCAGCCTGGAGAAGAGAAGGCTCCTGAAGGGGAGACCTGAGAGCAGCTCCAGTGCCTAAAGGGGCTGCAGGGAACCTGGAGAGGGGCTTGGGACAAGGGATGTAGGGACAGGCCAAGGGGAATGGCTTGAACCTGCCCGAGGGGAGACTGAGCTGAGCTCTTAGGCAGAAGCTCTTCCCTGTGAGGGTGCTGAGGCGCTGGCACAGGGTGCCCAGAGAAGCTGTGGCTGCCCCATCCCTGGCAGTGCTCAAGGCCAGGTTGGACACAGGGGCTTGGAGCAAGCTGCTCCAGTGGAAGGGGTCCCTGCCTGTGGAAGGGGTTGGAGCTGGAGGAGCTTTGAGGTCCCTTCAACCCAAACCATCCCATGGTTCTGAGATGATTCCATGAAACTCATGAGCTGCCCCAGGAGCAGGGGCTCTTCCTCCCCTCCTGCAGCCCTGCTGGGGACCACCAGGCCCTGAGCCAGCTGCAGGATGTGGCTGGTGCCCACAGCACCTCCTACCCTGGCGCTGCTCCCCGCAGGTGACGACCGACCTCAGGCAGAAGTGCACCGAATCGCACACGGGGACATCGGCCTCGGCACCCCTGGCCGCTGGCATCATCGCTCTCGCCCTTGAGGCCAAGTAAGGGCAGGCTCAGAGTGGGGCTGGGCTGGGGGTGCTGCATAGCCCCGAGGCAGCGTTCCCATGGCATGAGCTGCCCGGGGCTGAGGAGGTGGCACCGGTGCCTGAGGCTCTGTTCCCCCACAGCAAGAACCTGACCTGGCGGGACATGCAGCACCTCGTGGTGCAGACATCCAAGCCGGCTCACCTCAATGCCAACGACTGGGTCACCAACGGCGTTGGCCGCAAAGGTACCGGGGAGCTGGGGTGGAGGGGGGGCTCCAGTTCCCTCAAGCACCGCTAGCGTGGGTGTGCTGGGGCAGAGCTCCCCTGCAGCCCTGGGGCCTGCTGAGTGCCCTGGGGCAGCTCTGACCCCTCTCTGTCCACAGTCAGCCACTCCTACGGCTACGGGCTGCTGGATGCTGGTGCCATGGTGAGCCTGGCCAAGAACTGGACCACGGTGGGACCTCAGAGGAAATGTGTCATCGACGTCCTCACAGAGCCAAAGTAAGGGCTGGTGAGCCCAGGAGGGCATCACCCTGTGCACTGCCCCGTGCAGGAGCCCAGGGGGCTCTGGGTCCAGGGCAAAGGCTGGGGAGGATCTCCAGGGATGGGCTGCCCTGAGGCTTGGAGCATCCTGGGAGGGCTGGGAAAGGTGCCCTCAGCTGACAGGGCCCACGGAGCCTGCCCGCGGTGCTGTGCGCTGTGGTTTGGGAGCAGGCAGCACGAGGCACCTCAGGCACACAGGGGCTTTTCAGGGCTCAGACAGAAGCTCCTTTTACTCCTGCTTGGCCGCTGCTGCCGCAGCACAACATGTGCTGAGGCTCGTATGCAGGCAGGGCGCTCCCCGGGGGCTCTGAGCATGGAGGGAGCCGGGGCTGGGACCTGCCTGTGCCTGTGCCTGTGTCCCCCCCGGTCCCCTGGGATCCAGCCTGCCCATCGGAGCCAGTGCTCTTTGTGACCAGCAGCCTGCCCCGCATCAGTGCTGGCACTGGGGGCAGCTGCAGGAGGTGGCTGCACACGGGCAGCGGGATGGGGACAGCCGTGCCCGTCCTGTCCCTGGCCATGCTGGGCAGGGTGTAGCTGGCCTGGCTGCAGGCAAAGAAAGGGCCCATTCAGGGCCGGTGTGGAGCAGTGCCTGGGGAGGTGGCTCCAGGCAGCGCATGCTGGGCAGAGCAAACCCCACCATGGCCAGGAATGAGGGCAGGGCCCTCTGCCTGCACCAGGTCTGGGGAGGAGGCACCATTAACTGCTGCGGGGTTGGTTCCCGCTCCAGGTACACTGGGGCGGTTGCCAGGCCTCTCGGGAGGGAGCGGGACCCAGGACACCCTGTCCAGAGCCCCCAGGCTGGGGCTGGCCTCACTCTTGCCTCCCGTCGCCAGGGACATCGGGAAGCGCCTGGAGGTGCGGCGGAAGGTGGACGCCTGCCTGGGCAAAGCCAACTACATCAGCCGGCTGGAGCACGCCCAGGCGCGCCTCACCCTGTCCTACAACCGGCGCGGGGACCTGGCCATCCACCTCGTCAGCCCCATGGGCACCCGCTCCACCCTCCTGGCTGCCAGGTGTGTGCTGGGCTGGCCCCACTCGGGTTTGGGGCCTGTGAGCACCCACCTCTCACACCCCCATCTCGCCCAGGCCCCACGACTTCTCTGCCGATGGCTTCAACGACTGGGCCTTCATGACGACGCACTCGTGGGACGAGGACCCCTCTGGGGAATGGGTGCTGGAGATCGAGAACACCAGCGATGCCAACAACTACGGTAGGGCTGGGCTGGCCCGAGCCCCGCTGCTGCCTCCCTGCGAGCCTGGGATGGGAGTGGGAGCACCATGGGCACCTGGTGTCCCCCAGCACTCCTGAGCTCTGGGAGCAGTGACACTTGGGTGCTTTGCAGTGACCTGCTCCAGGCTGGAGCGGGGCGCATGGGAGGAGATGCCATGGCTCTGGGCAGTGGTGGGGTCTGAGGTCTCAGGTTCTCCCCATGCTGGGTGGCCTGGCCCTGCCCCACAGCAGTCCTGTGCCTGGGCATTGCTGCATGCTGGGGGCTCTTCCAGGAAGCAGGCAGAGCCCTGTCTCCCTTTGGCAGCCCGTGGAGGGGACCGGTGCAAACCCCTCCGTGTGCCTGCCCCGAGTGTGGGCGCATCAGCGGTCCTCAGCCCGTATCCTTGCAGGCACACTGACCAAGTTCACACTCGTGCTGTACGGGACAGCCACCGACTCCCCCAGCCTCTCCAACCAGCTGGAGAGCAGCGGCTGCAAGACCTTGACCCCCAGCCAGACCTGTGTGGGTGAGTGTGGGGCTGCTGGGAGGGGATGGGGACGTGGGGCCCGCACTGACGCTGCCTGTCCCGCAGTGTGCGAGGAGGGGTACTACCTGCACCAGAAGAGCTGCCTGAAGCACTGCCCGCCCGGCTTCGCGCCCGGCCTCCAGAGCACACACTACGAGCTGGAGAACAGCGTGGAGCCCATTGCCCCGCACCTCTGCCTGCCCTGCCACACCTCTTGCGCCACCTGCACCGGGCCCGGCCCCAACCAGTGCCTGACCTGCCCCGCGCACTCCCACTTCAGCAGCCTGGACCTCTCCTGCTCCCATCAGACGCAGAGCAGCCGTGCATCCCCTGCCCTGGCAGAGGGCGAGGGGCTGGCTGAGGCTCCCCCTCCCACCAACCTGCCTGTCCTCATTGCCAGCCTCAGCTGCGTCATCATCGTCATCATCTTCGTCACCGTTTTCCTGGTGCTGCAGGCGCGCTCAGGCTTCAGCCTGCGGGGAGTGAAGGTCTATGCCCTGGACAGTGGGATTATCTCCTACAAGGGGCTCCCCTCTGACATCTGGCAGGAGGAGGGCCCCTCCGAGTCGGACGGTGAGGACACCGAGGCCCACAGCGAGAGGACTGCCTTCATCAGAGACCAAAGTGCCCTTTGATGAGCCCTCCCGCCCCTCCCTCCTCCCTGCCCAGCACCATGGGGCCAGGGTAGGCGAGGCCGAGGGGTCCCGGACTCTGCCCTCGTCCCTGTCCCGCACCACAGCAGCCCGGGGCTCCCACCCACCGGCACTGCCCCTTGGCCTGGCCTGGGCAGCCGGGCACAGCCCTGCTGGCACCGTCCCCAGCTCGGCCCCGTCCTGGTCTGGCTCCATCTGTCTCTGCCCCGAGTCCACCCTGACCCTGTGCTGGGATGTGTGGTGGCAGCAGGGTCACTGACCGGCCCTGCGCTGGTGGCCGTGTCCCCTGCCCGGGGTGGTGTCTGTTGCTGGGGTCACGTCCCCCCGGGTGGGCAGTGTGAGCCCCTGGGGTGTCACTGCTCAGGCTGGGCTGGCCAGGGGTGGCTCTGCCCCGCAGCATCCCCTGCCCCCCTCAGCACCCATCTGCATCCCTGGCTCTGCCCACTGCATCCCGGCCCCCTGCCACCCCCGAGGGTCTGTCTGCCTCCACCTCTGCCCTTCAACAGCAATAATGGCCAGGCCTCGGCTGCTGCTGCCTGCTTGCCCACTGCCTGCCCGGCCCCTGCAGCTGCTGCAGCGCGGACAGGAGCCCCTGCACAGGGGAGCATGGGGCAGGGCAGCGCCTGTGCCCGTGGCTCAGCGCTGCAGCGTGGGCAGGGACCCCCCCGCAGCCCCTGCTCGGCGCCTGTCTCGCCCCTGGGCAGGGCTGCACGGGTGCTGGCCAGGGCAGTCTGGGGGTTCTGGCTCTGCCTGCACCCTGCCTGCACCCTGCCTGCGCTGGGCAGAGCCCAGCGTCCCCCTGCCCCTCGACGTGCCTTGCCCCCACTTGGTGACAATCCGTTCTGCTCCCTGCTGGAGCCCCTTTCCGGCGCCGCCCCCCCCAGCACCCCTTCCTCGTGGGCTGGGGGCCGGTGCCACAGCCCCTCTGCCGTCCGCACGCCGGGGCCATGGCACTGCCTGTGCCCGCGGCCCTGCCCGCTGCAGCCAGCCCAGGACGGAGCCGCAGGCTGGGGGCCACAGGACTATTTTTCTATAATAACTTTTTGGTGCACAGTAATTTTTTCTTGTAATTTAATCAGCCGGGAGCTGCCTCCTGAGCCTGTTTTTAATTTAATGGATGTGGATATAACGCTAGAGAGACTGAGTTATTAAATGTTCAGAACTATGCAAACCAGCCCAGCCGCCTGTGCTCTGTGTGCCATGGCCCCACGTAGCCCGTGGGGTGCCCGGCTCTGCCTTGCAGTCACAGGAGGGTCCTGGGCACTGCCTGCAGCGGGCACTGCGCAGGGATATGCAGGGAGCTGCTGCTGCCCCACAGTGCGGCTGCCTCCAGCGCCAGGCCCCCCCACACCCCCGGCCAGGGCAGGGAAGTGCCCTGAGAGGAGGGGAGCCCCCCCCAAGCCTGGGCTGTGCGCAGGGGCCACTGCTTGGGGACCTGTTGGGATCAGCCCCTGCCCTGAGCGATGCGAGGCAGCTGCTTGCCTGGAGCCCACAGAGAGGAGCTCATCCGAGGGGCGGCTGCAGGGGCTGGAGCTGTGGGAAGAGCCTGCGGAGCCCGAGCACCTTTCCCACAGCACTCGGGCTGAGCCCCTGTGCTGCAGGCGCTGCATCCAACACCCCGCTGCAGCTGGAGCACATCCCCTGCGCTGGGCAGGGACCAGGACTGTGCCATGGCTGAGCCTCAGGCAGAGCCCAGCCCAGCTCCACCGAGCTCCCTGCAGGGTCCCGGCCCCCAGGAGCCTCTCTTGGGCTGCGCTTGCTGGCGGAGGCTGCCCCGGTGCAGAGCCCCTCGGCCTTGCTGCGCCCGCAGCAGCTTCCTGTGGTCAGGAGCGAGCTCCCGAGCGTGCAGGTGGCTGCAGGCGCTGCTCTTGCTGTGCTGGAGGCCGGGGGGGGCAGGTCCCTGCTGCCCCAGGAGCTGCAGCCGCGGGTGATGCACGGGGGTCCCGCTGCACACAGGCAGCGGCTGCAGCCGCACCGGGCTCTGCAGGAGCAGGGGCAGAGGATGTGAAACTGGGTGGGTGAGCGGCGGTGGGGTCCTGGCACCCTGAGGCTGCCCGGGAAGAGCCGCGGCGCTCACTGTGGCACCGGGCCCTCGCAGCACAGCCCCAGGCTGGGTGCCTCCCACCAGCGGTGCCCGTGTCCCTGCTGCAGCTGGAGCGGGCAGGAGGGGGCTGCACTGCTGGGCGGTGCAGGGGATGCAGCAGGGATGCTGGGGGTGGGAGTAGCATCCTCTTGGCCTGGCTTGCTAACCCTTGTTAAACCTGTGACAGCGCTGTGAGTGTCCTGGAGCCCGCGGGTGTGTGGATGTCCTGGAGCCCGCGGGTGTGTGGATGCCCTGGAGCCCGCGGGTGTGTGGATGTCCTGGAGCCCACGGGTGTGTGGATGTCCTGGAGCCCGCGGGTGTGTGGATGTCCTGGAGCCAGGGGGTGTGTGGATGTCCTGGAGCCCACGGGTGTGTGGATGTCCTGGAGCCCGCGGGTGTGTGGATGACCTGGAGCCAGCGGGTGTGTGGATGTCCTGGAGCCAGCGGGTGTGTGGATGCCCTGGAGCCCGCGGGTGTGTGGATGTCCTGGAGCCAGCGGGTGTGTGGATGTCCTGGAGCCCGCGGGTGTGTGGATGTCCTGGAGCCCACGGGTGTGTGGATGTCCTGGAGCCAGCGGGTGTGTGGATGCCCTGGAGCCCGCGGGTGTGTGGATGTCCTGGAGCCCGCGGGTGTGTGGATGTCCTGGAGCCCACGGGTGTGTGGATGTCCTGGAGCCAGCGGGTGTGTGGATGTCCTGGAGCCCACGGGTGTGTGGATGTCCTGGAGCCCACGGGTGTGTGGATGTCCTGGAGCCCACGGGTGTGTGGATGTCCTGGAGCCAGCGGGTGTGTGGATGCCCTGGAGCCCACAGGTGTGTGGATGCCCTGGAGCCCACAGGTGTGTGGATGTCCTGGAGCCCGCGGGTGTGTGGATGCCCTGGAGCCCGCGGGTGTGTGGATGCCCTGGAGCCCACGGGTGTGTGGATGTTGCTGCAGCTGCTCTTGCCCTCAAACCTGCTAGGAAAACCAGTGTTTCCTGGGAGCCCAGCACTGGTGGTGTCACTGAGCCCTGCAGTGCTCGGTGCTCCGCGTGGCTGGATGGGGCACAGGGAAGGGGGAGACCCCCGGCAGGCAGGACCCTGGGGATGGGCAAGCCATGGGCACTCGAGTGCTGCCTGGGGCCATGCCCTGGCCGTGCTCTGCTGTGCCACTGTGCTCCCCTGGGCTGTGAGCACCCGGGCGCTGCTCCATGAGGGAAGGCTGAGCAAAGCTCCACCTCATGTGCTTCTTGCCCCCAACTTCCTCCAACAGCGGGATCAGCTCGGCTGTGTCCTGCAGGCACGGGACGGGGCTCAGCACTGACTACCAGGGAGGCAGCCAGGGCACCTGTGTGCCAGTGCCGGGCGGCGGTGCTGGTGGCGGTGCTGGTGGTGGTACTGGGTGGTGGTGTTGGGTGGTGGTGCTGGGTGGTGGTATTGGGTGGTGGTGCTGGGTGGCAGTGCTGGTGGCGGTGCTGGTGGCGGTGCTGGTGGTGGTGCTGGGTGGTGGTGTTGGGCGGTGGTGTTGGGTGGCAGTGCTGGGGAGGGGCTGGAGACAGGCAGGTACCAGGCTCTGCAGGGATGGGGTTCAGGACCCACAGGGGCAGTGGCCCACAGCCGGGGTGAGGAGATGCCCAGGGCTCCCGCAGGACAGAATCCTGGCGGCACCAGGCCTTGCTGGGAGCAGTGGATGGGCAGCAGGGCTGGGGCTGCGGGTGACGGCAGAGCCGTGGCCCTGGGCACGGGGACTGGCAGGGAGGGGAGGAAGGGCAGGAAATCTCGCAATGGTCTATGGTCAGCACCGGGTTTCCTGTTCCTCCCAGGAGCCGGAGCTGCACTGGGTCCACACTGCGCCGGCCCGGGCCCCAGCAGGACACCAGCTCCAGCCGCACGGCAGGGACCTCGCAGCACACCCAGGTTGGAGGGGCCAGGCCCCACTGGGGGGGCTGGTAGGGACAGGGACCCCTCTGTGGGGCTGGGGAGGGTTCTCAGCCCTGGTCCTCTGTGGGGTCGAGTGCTGCATCAGGGGACGTCCTGCCCTGCCCAGCACCCTGCTGCTCCTGCTGTGCCTTTGCCATGGGGCAGGACCCCCCGGGACCGTGGCTGGGACCAGTTTGGGTCCCAGCAGCCATGTTGGAGCGCTGGGTGCTGGGACACATCCAGGCTCAGCACCTTCCTCCAGGGCTTGACACCACAGCCCCCTGCTGCAGGCCCCCCGGAGCTCAGGGTAACGGTGCCAGCGGCAGCAGGGGCTGGAGCTGCTGGACCACCGGGGGCTGGTGTCCCTGCTGGGGGGGTCACAGCTGCGCTGCCCTGGGGACCGGCCCCCCGCATGGCAGAGCTGACGCTGCTGGGTTTGACCCCAAACTTCCTCCTCCCTGGCACCATCCCCGTGGGCCCCAACTTCCTCTGGGCGCCGGTGCCCTCGGCACTCTCCCGGCCTCCCACCTGCTTTGAATGGGCTTTGCGAAGGGGATGGCGTGGGGCAGGGGGAGCTCTGCTCCCCGCAGGCACCTTGTCCCATGGCAGCCAATGCGAGGGGGGGTGCGGGATGCAAAGGGCCCCCCGGACACCGCTCACCGCTGCGGGCAGCAGCCGCGGCTCAGCTCTCCGGCTGCCCTGCAGCCTCCTCCCACCCGACCGGCGGTGCCATGGGCTTTGGGCCGGAGCTGTGGTGCCCGCAGGGGCACAGCGCGCTGCTGCGCCTGCAGGACAGTGAGCTGCGCCTCCTGGAGCTCATGAAGAAGTGGATGTCGCAGCGCGCCAAGAGCGACCGGCAGTACGCGGGGATGCTGCACCACATGTTCTCCCAGCTGGAGAAGCAGGAGAGCCCCGGGCAGCCCCGCGCCGCTGACCACGGCAGCCAGATCGGGGAGGTAGGGATGTGTGGTGCGGTGCCGGATGGGGGCCGTGCCCGCGTCGGGCCTGACCTCCTGTCCCTGCAGTCCTGGTGGGTGCTGGCGACCCGGACGGAGGCGCTGAGCCAGATCCTGCGCCAGCACGCGGAGGAGCTGGCGGCGGGGCCGCTGGCCAAGCTGAGCCTGCTCATCCGCGACAAGCAGCAGCTCCGCAGGGCCTTCAGCGAGCAGTGGCAGCAGCTCAGCCAGGAGTACACGCGGGTGCGTGGGTCCCGGTGCGGGCAGCGGGGGTCCCCGGCCCTGCTCCGCTGACGGCCTCACCCTCCGCAGAGCACGCAGCAGGAGATGGAGAAGCTGAAGGCTCAGTACCGCAGCCTGGCGCGGGACAGT